ATCTGTCATTTACCAAAAAAAATTCTATTTTGGTCTCATCTGACTATAGAAGTTTCTGCCACATTGTTGTAGATTTATTGAAATGTTTACGGGAGTAGTCCATTCACGATCTAAGATGCAAGTGGTTTCTTTCTTGCCTATTTTGTGTAAGGTACGTGATATTTTCAAGGTGTGTATAGTAATTCCATTTGCTGATATTGAAGTCTGCAGCTCCTTCAGTGTCACTGTTGGCTTGACAGTCGCTTCTCTGACAATTTTTCTGCTTGTTCGAGTGCAGACCTTCTTAGGGCAACCTGATTTTGGCAAGGTAGTGTAACACACTTTCCATTTCTTCACAATCTGACAATTTTTCTGCTTGTTCGAGTGCAGACCTTCTTAGGGCAACCTGATCTTGGCAAGGTAGTGTAACACACTTTCCATTTCTTCACAATCTGACAATTTTTCTGCTTGCTTTGAGTGCAGACCTTCTTAGGGCAACCTGATCTTGGCAAGGTAGTGTAACACACTTTCCATTTCTTCACAATCTTACAATTTTTCTGCTTGTTCGAGTGTAGACCTTCTTAGGGCAACCTGATCTTGGCAAGGTAGTGTAACACACTTTCCATTTCTTCACAATCTTAAAATTTTTCTGCTTGCTTTAGTGCAGACCTTCTTAGGGCAACCTGATCTTCGCGAGGTAGTGTAACACACTTTCCATTTCTTCACAACCGATTTTACAGTACTTAATGGCAAATTGAAAAATTAATTTATAGCCTTCTCTGGAATTGTGCTTCTGAACAATCTTCTCCCTTAGGTCTGTAGAGAGTTCTTTTCTCACCATTCTCAATATGCTACAGTAAGCCATATTTTAACTTTAAAAATACTCTGCTTAAATCAATACTGATGGCTCTATATGACCTAAAGTATTTTTCACATGACTTTATAATATACCTTGGTATCTGATAGAGTTGTACAGAGCCACTTTTATTTATTTTAGCAGGGTATTGACGTAATATTGAATCAACGATGGTAAAAGCTGAGGGTAGTGAAGACTTTTACAACATGTGTTTTCAAGATTTATTTTTGTTATATCACTAAATTGGGCAACAATGCACCTTTTGTTCTGTGTAATCTTTAGAAAATGGTCCGAGACGAATATAATAAATATTTTTGACCATTGGATTATGATCTTTCACAAGAAAATACCTAAAATGTATTACCAGCACGGGGAGGGGGAGACTTTTGCAAGGCACTGTAATTCACATTATGCAAGAGTTAACTTTCACATATATATAATAGTTTATTTGCTCATTAAAAGAAATGTCAATAAAGTGTTTCTATGTTTTGTTTTTTAAGGAAATGGTGCAAGACAAGGATCAATATGGAAAGTGATCTAGAATAGGCTTAGTAGGTATGGTGTACAAACTCAAAAGATTAACCACTGGTGACAGGAATGTAAGTTTTGTTTTTCACCTGTCTAGAAAAGTATAATTTGTACTTTTCAAAGTACTAATGATAATGTGCAGCATTTTTTGGTTTAAGATAGTCCTCCTTTTTACCTCAAAATTCCTTTAATCTTTTTCTTTCTGTATTTTGGTTAGAAATATACCTGTGTTTGTTCTGCATATTTTTGAGACCTTGCTGAGAGGCCTGATGTTTTCATTCATAACCGTGAGTTTAGTGTGCTTATGTGATGTCTGTCAAGGTAGTAGAAGTAGTTTTAAGAAGTGGCACAAAGATGCATAACTATACTAGTTAAAATCAGAAGTAACTGGTAACTGTGACCTCTTAGGCATTAGCACAGTGTTAATTATTTTAGTTTGTTTGAAAAGATCAGAATTTAATTTTTTTGTAGTGTGTATAGATCAGAGAAAACTCCTGACAAAATATGGATCATCTAATTTTTACTTATTTATATATACAGGGCACATTTCTGTTGTAGTTGTTGCTTAGAAGATTAAAATGTTTCTTAATCAAATGTTTAGTCTTGCTGTTCTTAACTCAGTATTTCCTTTTGATGTTAATATTTACTTAACTATTAAAATAATGTTTGTACATGTACATATATATATAATTTGTATACTCTGATGTAACTTTTCATTTTATTTATGAATGCACAAGCAGTTTAGTTTGTATGTATTATACTAAATTTCAAACTATTTATCATCTATGTTTCACTAAGTTTTCAAGTTTTTTTCATGTTTCATATTCTGGGGCTCCTCCCACAGAACTAATCACTACCTCTAACATATAGTATTGATAGTCTAGTTGTGCCAATACAAAAACAAATTAACTAGGAAATTAAAATTCTACAGCCCCCCTTCCCTTCCACTTCTCCTTTAATTCCTCACTGAAATATCATATTTAACAAATGTGAATGCATGTTGAATATTAGTGCATTTTTTTTCTCATCAGATCAGGGATCCCAAGTGACCCAGCTGTTTTTTACACACTGATGAAAGGAAGCAATGAGCAAACTAACAGCAAAGATACTTTCTATCTGGCACCTCGACCAGAAAGTAATGGGGATATGTGGGCTGACATCATGGTTAACTATCCTTTAGACTATGAGAAGTTGCAGCAGTATAATCTGACCATCCGAGTTGAAGTAAGAGTTCTTCTTTGTCTCACAAAAACATCTTGAAAAAATATTCTGCCTTTTCCCTCTAGTAATTTTCCAAGCCATTGGCCCACAAAAACATCTTGAAAAATATTATGCCTTTTTCAAGCCATTGGCCCACAAAAACATCTTGAAAAATATTATGCCTTTTCCAAGCCATTGGCCCACAAAAACATCTTGAAAAATATTATGCCTTTTCCTTTTCAAGATGTTTTTGTGGGCCAATGGCTTGGAAAATTACTAGAGGGAAAAGGCATAATATTTTTTCAAGATGTTTTAAGATGTTTTTGTGGGCCAATGGCTTCATCTTGAAAATATATTATGCCTTTTCCAAGCCATTGGCCCACAAAAACATCTTGAAAAAATATTATAAAATTACTAGAGGGAAAGGCGCAAGTAAAAAAAACTATGACAGAACCTAGGTTATTAGTAGTTTCTTGTTTATGTATTAAAACACTTTCAAAAATATAACTTACGAAAATACATTATGTAAAAAAAACAACTTCTATCTAAATTTTAAAAGTTTATAAATGTAGATTTTATTCTAATTTTCAGTATTCTACAAATAATTTTATCCATATGTTAGGCTTCCTTATAGGCAATGTCTGTTACTCTGTAACTTTTGAATATACTTATCAACTTAGTCTCCTTCTTGCTTTTTAAAGATAATTTTCATTAGAGGATAGCTTTTAAATCTATGTATGTTGATAAATGGTTTAGTTTAAATCTCTTTAAAAAATTTCATGTAAGAGAGAGAGATAATGTAGGTGGAATATATAGTAGAGTAAAAAAAATGTGGAGATGGAATAAAATATAGATATTTTTATTATAATGTTACTTTAATTTGTCTTTTTTAGAGTTTTGGACCTGAAAAATTCAATTTCTGTAACACTAATACACCAGCTATATCTGTTTCTTCCTTCTTGTTTTGTGTTGTACATCTATACATTGTGCTATAGGGGTATTCAAAATCTGAGTGCCTAAAGAATTAACTTATGGCTTCTAGATATTTAGGTTTTAGGCAAGTCCCAGATTGTGGAGTGGAACCAGTATTTGCTATTCTGAATGCATAAATATTACACACACACACACATATGCTGGGTGTCTGAAAATTATGTTAACAAATTTATTTATAGGGCTGGGCTGTAGATTGGAAGACCAGAGTTTACATCACAGTTCTGTTGAACATGCTTCATACTTTCAGCTGTGGGTGTGCTATAAAGGTAGCAGTCAATCCCATTGTTCATTTCAAACAGGACAAAGCCCTTATGGAATAGCTATACCTGACTGCTAGGGATCTCTGCCTTAAACATTTAACCCATGGGCATATAATGTGCCATCTACGTTGAAAGGACATACACCGGTTTTGTTTGTGCAGAAGTTGTCTGTCAGTTAGTGTGATCCAGTTGATGTATATTCATGTTAAGTTTGGGCATGATGAGCACATTCGGTATTCACTAATTTCACTCTTTCTAAGAAATTATTGAGTATCTTTTGTGTATGTGAATTCTGACAATTATATATGAAGTTTTAAAGAGTTGGAAGGTTTACATTCACATACAATATCCTTCAGAATCCTTTGAGTTTCAGGTAAAGGAAAATGAAATTCAGACAGCTGAGGCTGTACTGAACTTTTTCATAATGTTGTAAAGCTAAATCTGTACGTTTTTTATATACTCTATTATACACTATTATTTGATGTAGTTTTCCTTAGTCTCAACCATTATTATGTCCATTGTATCCCAGATAACCTGACGAGCCCTGTTACTGGGTGAAAGGCCTTATAGGGACTGATTATAGTATATGTGTTGTGGTTGACATAGTATTACATTCTTCTCTTATTTTAATTCATGAGTTCATACAATAATGTATTTCATTTTTTTCAGAACAATGGTGTGAATGTATTAGCAGCTGAATGTACTGTTTACATCGTGTTGGAGGATGTGAATGATGAAATTCCACTATTTATTGAAACGGAGCAAGAAACAGTTCTAGAAGGTATGCCCCCAATGACAAAAGTGACCACTGTGACAGCTGTTGATAAAGATGGAACTTATCCAAATAATAAGGTAGTGATATGTTCAAGTCTCTTTTGTTTTCAAGTAATTCTACTACATGGCATCTGTCTAGTCAGTGATATATTGATATAAAATAGTTGCTTATTTATGCTTGACAGCTTCCCAGTTTGCCCTTGAAGAAGAAGGTTCCACCTTTCAAGAGTGCTCAGGTTATAGGGTTTTTATTCATTTCTCTCAAGACTTCTTGAACCTACATGTTTTTATAACATCATGAATATACTTCATAGCTGTTAGAGTAAAGTGCTGGCTTCTCTTGACTGATTTGAAAAGTAATTTTTGTAATTATCATCAGATAGATGCTGTATATTTTTTTTATTATTTTAGCAGTTAATTATAGGCCATAGGAGGTGTTCCTAATGTGTCTTCCCCTCTACAAAATTCCTATTATTTACTTTTTTTCAGCTCTTATCTAAGTTAGCATACACTTACCTCTGAATAAAAACAATTTCTGTTGGAGTACGCATATAGAAATCAAATATGTCTCCACAAGTTAAAGAATTTTGAAGTGCATCTGCACCTGATTTTATATATTCGTAATTCAATATTTGTGTAACACTTAATTAAAATTATTCATGGTGGTGGAGCTTGCATTTCTCCAAACTTTTGCAGAAAGAAGTTAGCATTAAAACTCTTGTTTTACTCAGTTCTGTACCTAAGCCAAGTTTTCAAGAAGGCCTTGTTCTATCTTTGTTATTACTGTCTGTATTGCTAGATGAGATAAATATCTTTGTACGTAGCTACAATAAGTCTTAAGGTTTATAATGCTTAAAAGGATTTTGAAATTTTTTTAAGTGAATATTTGTAGCTAAGAAGATTATTGTACATTGTTAGCTTAGCTAATAGCGAAATTTGAGGTTTTATCTTTGCAGTCGATAGAGTGCAGATGACCCATTGTGTAGCTTTGCTCTAAACAACAAGACAAACAATTATTTTGATCGCAGCTGGAATATTGTTAATAGCATGGATAACCAAATGGGGATTCAGTGCATTCTAACCATTATAAAGCTCCGATTCTCTCTATGAATGTATGACACTAAGTATTTCCAGTGAGTTTGTTGCAGAGAATTATATTTATTAATTAATTTATAAAGCTTTTTTTGTTTTTAGTTTTTATGTGCATAGCTTACTTACGGTAAGAATCTGTTGTTAATTTTGTTGCATTTTTTGTTTTTATGAATCAAGAATTTCTGAATTCCTTAGGTCAGCATGTCTGTCTTCTTAAATGGTTGAAGAAATTTAGACTGGACAGGAATCTAGACAATTATGTTTTATTCTTTTTACAAAAGAAATAATCTTGTTTTGCCTGTTATTGGGAAAAAATATTTGTTTTCGTTCCTCCTAACTGAAAAGGTTCAGGGAGTATATAATGATGATGATGTCCATCCATCAATCTGTAGGCATCCATTTTCTACATAACGATTATACTTTAAAAAAGCGGGCTTTAATCAAACTTTACAGGTTACTTGGGCATTGGGAAGAACTCTGTTGATTATGGGGTTAATAGGTCGGTCAGAGTCACCATTTTAAGAAATAATAAAACTGATTTCTCTGCAAAAGAAAACACAGTTTAAGTAGAAGCAACTTTTCAATGTAAATCTATTTCAAATACTGTATTCATAGTTTGTGAAGTAAATTTAATTCTTAGAAAGATATGTAGCTCTTGAAACAGCATTGAATCTTGTGTCGTTACTACTATTTTTAGGTCTATTATAAAATTGAAGAAGGTGGTGATAGATATTTCAGCATAGACAAAGAAACTGGAACTATTTTCACAAGAGTGGAGTTTGATCGTGAAGAAAAGCAAGCTTACGCTATTAAAGTTTCAGCTGAAGATGGAGCTCTTTCTGACCGGCCGCATGAGAAGTTTGGAATCCCAAAACCGAACAAAGGTTAGTTTTTATGATAAGTTTCTTGTTAGTAGTTAGAAGTTCTAGTAACACCAACATTTTGTGTAAAATTACAAGATCGTATACATCAATATAATAATTTTCTACACTATAAAATTATTGTGATCATTTTGTTTCAACTTATTAAACACCAGATGTTTTTCATAATTTGTCTGCGATTGCAGAAACTTGCTTAGGGACAAAAAATTATATCATTGTTTCCTATAAAAAATCATTCTTGAGACTAAAGCTTAGGTAAATTGAAAAAGGCAGCTTCATATGAATTATAATTTAAGGTAGTAGTTGACTTTTAATATAGAACAAATAGAAAGAATAGTTATAGTATTTTGGCACTTGTGTATAAAGGATGACGTTGTAACGTCGAAACATGTAGAGTCATCAACTTTTTGAAGGCCGTAGATAGGCCTAAATAAAATGTTTTTAACTGTATACCAGTTTAACAATGAATATTATTTATGATTTTAAGAAAGAATAGTATTGTTTTCAGTATCAGTTTCCGATTTCTTTATAATCTATAGTTGAAAGACATGCTTCATTTGTAAATCATCAAATCATTAGTAGTTTTGGTAGTCTAAAAAATTAATAGCTGTACTCTTTTCGGGGGAACTTATTTTTTCTTTTTTTCATATGACTTTCTAGCTTCAAGTTATATATACAATTTTCACATATCAAACACGTTATTCTTTTGAATTTGATTTTTTGTTTGCAGTATGTTATGAATCATGAAGTTGAACATCTTACCCATTGTTCAACTTTTATATTTGTTATCAAAAATACTTCCCATCCTGAAATTTATAGCAATTAAAACGGAAGAAAATGGGTCAGTGTGACAAAGACTTGCTATTCAGTTTTCATTGTCATTAAAGTTGAGAATTTATGTTTAAAGTGTTTCGTGTTAGGTAGGCATGGAAAATTCTCTTCTAAGACTTTATTTTCAGATTTTTAGCTTTTAAGATGACAATTAATAGATCTTAATAGTAGTGGTTCTTTTCCAGATTGTAGTAGGAAATATAGATCCAGATCTCATTTAATGCCAAATACAAGTTTCACCTCACCCTTCAGTACGAATACAAACTTTTCCAAACCATCCAATACAAATATAAGTTTCCCAAATCCTCTAATACAAACACAAGTTTCACTAAACCCTCCAATAGAAACACAAGTTTCACTAAACCCTCCAATAGAAACACAAGTTTCACTAAACCCTCCAATAGGAACACAAGTTTCACTAAACCCTCCAATAGGAACACAAGTTTCACCAAACCCTCCAATAGGAACACAAGTTTCACCAAACCCTCCAATAGAAACACAAGTTTTACCAAACCATCCAGTACATTCATTTTATATATTTCTAAAGTTTTTACTTTTTGTAACCATGAATTAGAGATACCCTATGTACTGACCAAAGTTTGAAATACACGTTTTTAATGTTCTACCATATATCTATTATTTACTAGTCAATTTTGCTGCTGTTTCAGAAGAATGAAATTTAAGATAATTTTAAATCTTTCTCATGTTAAAATCAATGAAATATGTACATTTAAACATCTGCTGTGAAATTATAGTCCTAAAAGCTAATGTAGGTGGCATTTTTGATGACGAGGAACCCACTTTGAGACTAATAATGGTTGGAGATGGCTTGAATGGGTAATGAAGAAAATCTTTAATATAA